TAAAATTTCTCATAGTATCTCTGAATTAAAAATCTTGACAAACGGCGTTCAACCCTGTGTCATACCCTGACGCCAACAAATCCAAATATAAAGTCAGAACTGTCATCAGGTGCATGCTAGGACTATTATAGTGAGTGTATAGACATGATAACAGTTGCCCTGGGTGCATGTCTTCACACAGGTTAATGTCACCTAATAGTGGCGAGTAAATAAAAAAGAGTCAGGGGGCCACAGTGCTGCAGGCAACGTGGCTCTGGGGGTTATCAGGAAGGATACAGTGTTAATCATAGAGTAACCTGAACTCTGCTGACTCTTATCTATCGGAGAACATATGAGCGACCATTTGGACATTTCCTAATCTGACTGTGTTGAGCAGAGAGGGGCCATTGTGGCACAGGTGGGGGAGTCGGGGGGCTTTGAATGGTCGAGGTCCGCCCCGAGCCTTCGGGGCTGTAACCGGAGGAGAGAAAGAGGCTGATATGGAGAGGAGATACTTAGAACAAGATGACCTCTTTCAGATGACCTTCCAGGTGGATCAAAATCTGACATGTTGGTTTAAGCGTGTGGGAGAGAAATTCACTTTTGTTCTTGGTTTATAGGCGGTTTTTGTTCAGTTCTTAAGTTCAAGTATTTACTTTTTATCAGTTTTTAATCTAAAAAAATTCAAACTAGGATGTTGTTGTTGTTGTGATGTTTACTCTGACCCTTATCCATAAACATTCAATCTCCCAGAAGGCCAGAGGTGGTGGCGACTGAGAATTACTTGATTATTGCAGCTCTTTCAAAGTTCAAAATCTCATTGTGTGCCTGGGGTAATGTATTCACCACTGCAACCATAAATATTTCATTGTATTTAATGCCTTTGATTGATTCAATATTGGAGTAATGGTCTGACACAAAACCCCCTGAATGAAAATCAGTTACACAATACAGTCATCATACATCGCTATGCTATTGAGCCATTCTTTTCAAAACATTTCTCCACAGGCCACTAAATAGGCAGCGGAGGGGTGGGAAAGGGAGAGAGAGAGATAGAGGTCTGTGAGTTACAGTGGCCCTGCCCCTGCATCTCCACCCCAGCAGCGCGGGACCCCTCGCCTCCCTGTGATACCCCTTCCATTGGGGACTCATCTGTCTGGCCCACTGTCTTTGTACTTTACTGTTACTGGTGACATTTTGGTGTCACGGTGTCACGATGAAATGGCTCCCCTCCCACGTCGCAGCCCGCGGCGGCACAACTAGTGGAACAATAAGGTCTCGCGGAGTTGGGGCTGGAACCCAGGAGGCCCCAGCTGGGCGCAACGCCCTAACCCTTCCCCCTCCCTGGCTCCCATGAAATTGGGAATTAGTCGAAGCGTTGCTGACGACAAGTCAGTGTCTGTGTGTCCCGGGCTATTCCCAGGGCCCAGCGAGGACCCGGGGTAAGGAGAGACACAGAAACAGACACAGCAACCAAGGGATGCGAGCTCTGGGGGTCACTAGGGGCAACCTGTATGTACTGCTTTGACCCCTGACCTCGGCAGAGATCAAACTCTGTCCCACCCATGGCACTGTGGGAGAGTGAGTCATCTCAAGTGGAGCTGGCATGGGTCAGCAGAAGGGACAGTCGGTGTACTGCCGTGTTATTTTTACAGTAATGGTTAATATTTTCTCTGTCTGCTCCTGTGGAAACGACAGCAAACAGCGTGTGTGTGTGTGTGTGTGTGTGTGTGTGTGTGTGTGAAGAGACTATTCACTGTAATCATTAATTAACTGTACTCATTTAAAGCCTATTTCTGTTTCGAGTCATAAATTCTAATAATGTCTCTGATTGCTCTTTTCAGTTTAAGTCATCTCAAGATGATACTGAATGTCCAGATGTTTGTGTCGAATCTCGAGGAAATCTAAAAATCTAAAACTCTTCAGGTGAACATTTTCTTTTCATCTGTACAAATGTTTCATGTCTCAAGTAGAGTTTCAGTTTGAGCAGTGCCAGTGATTAAAGATTATAAATAACATACTTTATCTAAAAATCAGTATCGAATGGAATAAGTTCAATATTGTTCAAGGAATTTGAGGAAATGCCAGGAACTGATCTTACCTTAGGATCCTCGAGGATGCCAGACTCGTAGCTGTTTAGAAACACAGTATAGAGAATAACCATCATTTTAAATTCTATTTGACTAAGACATTGAAACAGAAGAAGCATCACCCCCACACAAACCCTGACCCACCTTATATGCATGAAGTTGGCGTCCATGCTCCAGGGTGCGCGGGGAGTCACGGGCACAGAGATGCCATGTTTCTACAGTGCGATAGAGAAAGCAGCCGTTATGATGCATATTCTTTCACCTGCAGTCTCTCTGCACTCGAAGGTTACACCAGAGGCTTTTTAAATCAGGGCTGAACTTTGAACTGTGAACGCAGGGCAGCAGACTATATCAAGCAGCTGGTTTATGACACGCTGTGTAACTGAAATAGGTTTGCTTCTCCAGGCTGATTGTCTCTCTATCAAAAGGAGAGGTGGTTCTTGTGTGTAAGGAAACATCTCAGTGTTTTAAGATTGCATGAAGCGGTACAAGTTCTGCAGTGCAACTAAAACATCATGAGCGCCCTCTAGTGGGCAAAACTGTTGTAAGGGAGGGGACCAGGTGAATTAATAACAGTCTGGGAACATGTGCGGTTGATCTGTCGATGAAATCATGAGTGTGACATTAAATCACAGGCAGGGAGGTTTTCATATTTTTTATACTGCATTATATACTGTAACTACAGTCTATTCACCATTATATTGTATTCTTTACTAAAACCAGCCCAATTTAAATACACACAGAGAAACGTTTTCCTGTTTTCTGTTCTTTTGTTAACACAAATGGAAAAGAGAGGAAAATACTTATTTGATCCTGGGGAGAAATTAAACTGTATGGAAGAGTGGAACAAGAGATAAAGAAACAATATTCTCTGAATGGAGCAAGAAAATTAAAAACCTGGAAAGCAGCGAGAGGGAAAAATCTGATTAAAGTTACTGCACATGTACAGTA